TGTTTTTTTTCCAGTGGCAGCGATTATAGCTTGGCATGGCTGTGGGGGAATTGGGGAGGGCAAGGGTCCTCACCTACATGACTGCCAGTGGCACTAACAGCATTGGCCACTTGGGGGTCTTCTGCGTCAAATCGCAAAAAAATGAACTTCAGATTGGCCAATTGTGGCTGGTTCAGTGGACGTGGTTTAGGGAGACAGAACTGGGGGAGCTAGTCTTCTCTCAGATGCATCTCTATAGTATAAATTCCAGCTGCGCTGTGAGTGAACGGCACAGTTGGAAATGGATGCCACCCCCCACCCCCCGTATCTCTTGGCTGTGCCTGAAAGTAGGCAGACGGTTCTGTAGCACAACCTTGCTGTGGAATTAATTGGTCGCCATATTCAGGGCCAGGGAGGACTTTGCTTGCAGGCAAATGGGGCATGTCTGGAGGTTTTGCCTATCTCATATTAACAGTCACAGCTTTTGACAGGAAATGCATTCAGTTGGATCCTTAGTCAAAACTAGAACCAATTTTTTACTTCGCTAAAGGGGTCCATGGGAAAAGTTTTGTCTGATTAGTTGTAGTTTCTGGGTCACCTTCAAAGATAGTCCCACATAGAGCGCATTTCAGAAGTCCAAGCAAGAGATAATTAGAGCATGCACCACTCTGGCAAGACAATCCGCGGGCAGGTAGGGTCTCAGCCTGCGTACCAGATGGAGCTGATAAACAGCTGCCCTGGACACAGTTACCCCAATCAGGACCAGGGAGTCCTCCACACCTGCCCGCCTCCTGTCCCCCCAAAACAGTACTTCTGTCTTGTCAGGATTCAACCTCAATTTGTTAGCCGCCATATATTTCAAATATGATAAATATATAATTTCTTACTGTGCAAGAAGGTAAAATGAAGCCAAGACATTCCAATCACCTTTTTACTTTCTATGCCTATGCAACATGCACTGGACCTGATTTTAATTAGCTACTGAATGTCTTCTTAAAAGATATTCATCCCTCTCTCATGTAATCTTTTCAATTACTTAAAAGTTTAAGGTAGAAATTTTCCGTAGGTATATTTTACTACACAAGCCTACCATGGAAATTTACTCATGTTAGTCAAAATCTTGCATTCTCTGCTTACTTTAGAAATGTCTCATTCTTTTCTAGGATTAGCAAATATGGCAAACTTGCTTCATAAATATCCTAGAAACAAATTTTTGCCTTGAAAAGGGTTTTTAATAGTCACACCCAGTTCTTGGGGTCAGATTAGGATAAGGACCAGCTGGTTTAGCCTACACTTTAGGCATGTGTAATATTTGTTAAATCTGTATGCCAAGAACTCTGATAACAATGGATGCCATGCATATCTCAGCTTGTTTTTAAAGGAGATTGTACTATAGAGTGTTTTCTGAGTATATTGCTTTAAAGTTCTAATATTCTCTTACATAACATAGGGGAATAATATATATAATGGTGTTTAATAGTAGTTATATACAAGACTGCAGTATAGTATCTTTAACTTTTGTATTAATATAATTCTTACCCATAAATAAACATCATTATTGAAAGACCTAATGTGATCTGCCCATCAACATCAGTCGTGCAAACTGTTGAGTGTCCTGCACAGCAATAAATTGTAGAAACCAATCTTCACATATGTATATCAACATCTTACATAGGGGAGTGCACTGAAAAAATAATAAATCAGTGTCATGCCTAATTCTTTCCCCTGGATTTCACATTTACACGGGTTTCCTTGAATGAGATGGCAAATGGCCCATGACGAAACCATGGAGTTCCAAAGGAGTCCTAAGCTCTTGATTAGATAATTGTGCCTTTAAGGTATATTGAAGCGCTTGGTTCAGAGATAGCAGGGCTTACTCCAGCACCTAGGAGCTCAGTTTGGCTCTGGCTGTTGTAAGAGCAAGTTGGCTGCCTTGATGATGTCTATAGCCATCAGACTGTGTCTGACTAATGGGTCTTCCCAACTGATCAGCTTCCTCATCTTTCCCTTCAGAATTCTGCTATATTTTTCAAGTACAAACCCCTAACAAACCCCCGTCTAGGATCTGAATGTTGCCAATATACGTTAGTGGTTAAGGTGTCAAACTAGGGCTGAGGAGACCCAGATTCTAATGAATCTCACTGAGTGATCTTTGGCCAGTGACTCTTTCTCAGACAAACCCCCACCACAGGGTTGTTGTAAGTATTAAACCAGGAGCCGGGTAAAAACCTTGTATGCCTCCTTGAGCTCCTTGATGGATGGAAGGAAGGAAGGAGATAAGTGGAGTAAATAAATAAACCATTGTTTCCCAAAGTGGGTGATACTGCCCGCTAGGGGTGCTGGAATGATCCACGGAGATGGTAGTAGCCTCAGGTGCAATTGGGGGGCATTGAATTAAAATAAAGGGACAGTGGAAGCATAAGGAAATAAGTGAAGAGAAGAAAATTTTGAAAAACCATTCATACATGTTTCATCTGTTGTGTGATGACACTTATCGCCAGGTTGAGTGCCATTGCAGGACGGCAACAACGCCTACCTTGGGTCTGGAGGCGAGGGGTTTTCCTGGGCTTGGGTGAACCCCTTTCAGCTTCATCGGGAAGTGGATCGCAGCTTAAAGAAGGTAGATTTCCAGGGGGTGCTGAGTACCTTTTTTATGAAAAGGGGCAGTAGGCCAAATAAGTTTGGGAACCCCTGAGACAAACCATCTGATGGATCTTCTTTTTTCTCTCAATCAGACTGGGACCCAATATTTTTGGAGAAGTAGCGTTTGGAGGATTTTTGCTCTATAACCTATTAAGATTGGAAGCTTGTCATCATACTTGCCATGAGAGACTGCACACAGAAGAAGCATAGGCATAGTGCTGTTGTTTTTTTAAAAAGCCATTAAAAACAAATGGACTGCAGGATAGCTGAGTTTCTAGGCATGGTGCGACTATACACAGCAGAAAACAAAACAAATGATATTAGCAATAACCTTTGAAGCAGTTTGAATAGCAGTTCCAAGAGATGATAAGAATTCTAGGAAACCCAGGGACAATACACAAAGGACATCTAGTGGTCTATCTATTCTAGCCTGGACAGGTGGCTTATATGGAATGCTGCAAGATATTAAGATATAATAGGAACCAAATGCTAATGTAATGCTCCATGTAAGATTTAAATTAAGGGTGAACTATTGCTCTATTTCAGGCTAATAGTTTGATCCAATGCACATACGTTCACAAATATGATTTATCTTAAGGAACCTTATGTTAGAGCAGGGACGGGGACCCTCAAGGATGGGGAATCTCAGACTCATAATGCAAATGTGACTTTCTAGGCCTCTCTATTTGGCCCCTGAGATTATGCCTGCCACTGTGTTAGATTATAGCTATGACTCCTGATCTGTGCTGTAATCCCATGCATGCCCCACCATGGGCCCATCATGGTGCCTTTTTGCTTGTTTATCTTCCTTTAGCCATGCAGTAGTAGACCTATTGATACATGTGTGAGGATGTAACATTTGGCTGAATTTATGGAAGATGAGGAACCATGGGCGTAATCCAATCCAGGCTGAAGGGCTATGAGGGGCAAAGAAATTACTCTAGGGGATTTTACCTGGAAGGGAACAAGGCCTAGACACTGCTTTACCTGCAGCATATTTGCAAAGCTAAGTAGGGAACGTCTGGTATGGTTTCAAATTGGATGGAGAAACCACATTTTAAGATTACTGCATTGCAGATGGTTGAAGAGTTGACACTCGGGGTCCCTTCCAACTCTACAATTCTGTGATTCTAAGCCTCCTGTCTGGAAGCATCCATTGTAGGGGCTCATCCACACTTTAGCTTGTGCTGCACAGGTCAGAGTGGTTTCCCCCCTTGCCACTCCCTTCCAAGGGAAAATCCGTTCTTTAGCGATAGAGCAGAACAAATGGCAATCTGGGGGAAATTCAAATTGCTGTTTGCTCCAACTGAGAGCTAAAATGTGCTTTTCCCTGGAGAGAAACAGCAGGACACTAGGAAATGTGAATAAGCCCTGAGTTGGTTTACAGAACCAGCACAACCAAATATTAAAGCTTTGTCCTGAACTGTGCTACCTAGATTGGATTGCTTCCCCATAACAAACTCCTTGCAGGTGGAAACAATTGTGCCAAAGGACTACGACTTCTTCTTCTTCTTCTTCTTCTTCTTCTTCTTCTTCTTCTTCTTCTTCTTCTTTGTGAGTCAACATTCAAACACACAATGTTTTCCTTGAGGACACAGTCCAGGAAAAATTAACATATTGATCCTGCTGTAAAAATGGATTGCACTGAAAAGTGATCCAGGAATGACACTGTATTATTGGACCCAGACCCTTTTCAATGACTATATTTAGAAGCTTGAAGAGTTTGATCTTGAACATTCAATTGTCCAGAGTTCCATGAGGATTGACTGATAAATTTAATAACAGGAGCAGCACCTTGCCAGCTGGCAACTATATGGGCAAGACTTTTATGCAACTTTTTGGATTTCCAACACATATGTACAGTCACTTTTCAGAAACTTTATTGAAAGTTTGCATCCTGAGTAGACTTTGCTGTTTATATTATCTGACATCCACATATTCCAAAAGCTTTTCAATATGGAGCAACCTGAGGATATTTTAAAGAGAACTAAGATAATAGGATATCTGATCCAAAACATTTAACATGTGGGAAAGCTCTCTCTCCCCACCCCCTTCCTTTTTAAAGAGAAAATGCAGTTCAGTCACATAAAGCCATGATACCTATAAAAACTTCCACATAAGTGCAGATTTAGCAGTATAAATGGTCAACTTTAAAGTGCAGTTAGGACTAACATTTTCTCCCTTGGCTTCGTTTCAGAGCCTCCACATGAAGGTTTATGAACACAAAACACAGAAGGAAGATTGTGTTTGATTACACTGACTGTTAAATGTGGCCTCTTAAAAAAGCTGAACTTCTCAACTTGATTATTTTTTAAAAGATACTTCAATAGACTTGAACATTCTGTTTGTACTCTCCCCCCCCCCTTTCCCTTGTGCAGGATTTTGCATCAAACAGATTCTGGAGATTGAAAAAAGAAACTTGGTTCAGCTGTTCAGAACTGTAAGTGAAGAGTTATATACTGTATATATAAAATGTCTGTTGAATAGTGAAGTATTTGTGATATGTCTTCAGGAAGATGTCCATATTTTACAGTAGAGCCAGAATTGTTTTAAAAATAGCAGTTGAGCTTAGTTACCTTAAGTCACATTACCCAGCATCAATTTTTGTATGTAAGATTTTCCTATTGTTCCTAAATAGTAAAGGTAAAGAGACCCCTGACCATTAGGTCCAGTCATGACCGACTCTGGGGTTGCGGCGCTCATCTCGCTTTATTGGCCAAGGGAGCCGGCGTATGGCTTTTGGGTCATGTGGTCAGCATGACTAAGCCGCTTCTGGCAAACCAGAGCAGTGCACGGAAACGCCGTTTACCTTCCCGCCGGAGCGGTACCTATTTATCTACTTGCACTTTGAGGTGATTTCGAACTGCTAGGTTGGCAGAAGCAGGGACCGAGCAACGGGAGCTCACCCCGTTGCGGGGATTCGAACCGCCGACCTTCTGATCGGCAAGTCCTAGGCTCTGTGGTTTAACCCACAGCGCCGCCCGCGTCCCAGCGGGTGTCCCTAAATGCAACAAATATAATCACGGCCAAGTTCAATGGCTTTAAAGAGGATTGGATGAATGAATGGATGATAAAGTTATCAATGGCTACTAGCTACAATGTTGCTGGAAATTCCAAGTGAGGAGAGTGTTGTTGCGTCCATGTCCTGGTTGGATTAGATGGGCCTTTGGCCTGATCCAGCAGTGCCATTTTTAAGGTTTAAGGATTTATTTTCTATAGCTCGGCAGCTTTCCCAGTTCAATAGTTATTTTAATAGTAAAATACAGGTATCGGCAAATGTTTTTCCATTGCTTTGTTAAAATGGCTATTTTGAAGTAAAACTAGGGGTGAGAAGCAATAGCACACTATGGAAGTCTCATCCTTCTGAGCTATTCCTGATTTGGGGAGAGAGAGGGGAAATACTTGGATCATGCCTGTGTTAATCCAAGATGAGCAGGAGAGCTATCTCAGATCTTCAATAGCTCCTCTGTCTCTTACCTCAGCACAATACTGAATTCCAGTGGGAAAATCACATTCCTTGCTCTTGCCTTTCATTAGTTAGTTTGAGGCAGGAATTATTTTTTTAAACAGGTTTGTCTCACATGTGAATCATGTTTTTGGGGCAGACCTTTGAGTGACCTTGTGTACTAATGACGGCTACTTTAGGCAGTACTCAATTATGGTGGTTGTGGGTAGCCAACAGGATGCTAAACCTAAGAAATGGTCTTGTAGGGTTTGTTATGCATATACTTACCTATGCATATACTTACATTCTGCTTTCTTTTTATTTTTCATTCCCATTAAAGAGAAAGTACCAATTTCCCAGAAGAAATGGAACATTAGCTTCTTATTTAATAACAGCTGAAAGCTATCTTTTCCCCCCTTAATGTTGGGACATTTTCTCTGGAAGACATGTTTGCAGTACAAAATGATTCCACTCTACCTCTTATGGCACCATTAACAATTTACTGTCATTTCTTTAACATACTGTTAATGTTGAACTCGGTATAATCTCTAGTACTCTTTTATATGCTGTCTGCTGGCGACTGTAGCAGACCTTATGGCTCCAACACCTATTTTCCCTAAGAAAAAGTCACAGCTACTTTAACCAAGCCAAAGTAAAACACAGTTATGAAATACGACTTTTGTCAAATAAAGTATAATAACTAGTAACTATCTGGATCCCAGAGTGAACAAGAGAGAGAGAATTGTTTTATTTGTCATAGTGTTAATCAACATTAATTTGCTATACTTTGGCCGTTATTCCAATTAAGCTTCTGTAATGCTAAAACATTACTGCTACTATTATGTTCTAGATTAGAATCTCAAGTAATTATTATGTTTTACTTTAAGCCTACCCTTAAAGACAATAGATAATTAAATTTAACAGCACATGAGAATTGAAAACCACGAGTTTGGTTTCATTTTCATTCAACTTCTTGTTTCTAATATTTCAGGTATTTTTGTAATCATATTGTTTTCAAATGCATTTCTGCTCTTCTGGCTTGCAGAAGCTTGTATTATTTTGAAATGACAGACCCTGCAGGCTGTAGAGAAAGTACCTTTTTGGCTGCATCTGGCTCATTTGTTGTCCATTCCTGGTGCTTGTTTAAAGGTGTTTGAGAGCTGATTTAAAAGCTGTTAAGCATCAGCTTGCACATTTTTGCCTAGTGATGGGTGAACTCTCCTCTGCTTGATTCGGTATTGACTTGGTGTTTATAAGTTTTTTTGGTTAGCATTCAGAAATGGCTTGTAGTTCTTTCTCAGTTTGTAATGTAGGCTCATACATGCGGAATTGCACACAGGCATATTATTGTATTGTTCTCTTGGTTTCATTTGCCTTGCACTCATCCCACACATTTGCCATAGCAGGGAGCTACCTGGAAGCTCAGCCACCCTACCTCCAGACAAATACACTTCCAAAATAAAGAGTGCTTTAGAGCTGGCTGGGTACCAACACACATACACACACACACACACAAACAAACACACACACAGCAAGAAACAAGCAAAAGAAATGACCCAGATTTTATTTAAAGCATTTGTATCCTGCTCTTCAGTTTTAAAAAAGTTCCCAGAGGGGCTTACAAATATTTATAATAACACAGCAGAGAAAATATTCATCAAATAAAAGACTGCTTGGTTAACTGGTCTGGGTCATGAGTTTTATTGAAAGTTATGTGTTAGCAAATGTTGTTGTTGTTGTTTAGTCATTTAGTGATGTCCAACTCTTTGTGACCCCTGGACCAGAGCACACCAGGCACTCCTGTCTTCCACTGCCTCCCGCAGTTTGGTCAAACTCATGCTGATAGCTTCGAGAACATTGTCCAACCATCTCGTCCTCTGTCGTCCCCTTCTCCTTGTGCCCTCCATCTTTCCCAACATCAGGGTCTTTTCCAGGGAGTCTTCTCTTCTCATGAGGTGGCCAAAGTATTGGAGCCTCAGCTTCAGGATCTGTCCTTCCAGTGAGCACTCAGGGCTGATTTCCTTAAGAATGGATAGGTTTGATCTTCTTGCAGTCCATGGCACTTTCAAGAGTCTCCTCCAGCACCATAATTCAAAAGCATTAATTCTTCGGCGATCAGCCTTCTTTATGGTCCAGCTCTCACTTCCATACATCACTACTTGGAAAACCATAGCTTTAACTATACAGACCTTAGCTAATGTTACAAATGTCAATACACACTACCCAAAAAGCATGTGGCTTTGAGGGTCCTAGCCTATAGAATGCTGACTGTTCATGCATTCTGAGTTAGAGAAGAGCTTCTTGGAGAAATGGCATTTGATTATACAGTATAGGTAAGCATTACAAGCTCAATGATTTTTCTTGTAGCATATTTTGTAATTTGTTATTTCACCTTTGTTTTGGAATGGTCTGAATGCAGACCATCATATTCATCTGCATGCTATTAAAGTGATTTCCACAACATTTTACTTTTGTTTTAGACTTTCCACTGTGTATCATGAATGTGCCAGTCACTTCGTAATAGGTTTAACAGCTTGTATGCATGGTTTGTAATGAACATTGTTTCCCGCCACCACTCAAAAAAATGTTTGCCTGAACTGCAGCTACTACTACTGCTAAACTACTTTTTTCATTGTTAGCAACTATGTATGATGTGACTATACTGGCAATTTGAATAATTTGCTCTGTGTATGTGGGGACATCCATCACTTTCACCAGTCCTTCAACAGTTAAATCCCTATGAATTCATTCGTGAACTGTGGTTTCCTGCCACGTAGTGTGTCCTTCTCCACCAGAGGCATAATCCATGAATTGGCTGAAAGCATTGAAAGTCTTGGTAGGTGCTGAGCAAAGCCTCCATCCTAATAGAGTTACTAGTAGTTGGTTATAAATGTGAACCTGACAAGCAACTTATGATCTGATGAATGAGCTGACCTTAGATCACTGATAGTCTGGTTTTCTGGGAATGGAAGTTGAATAAAATAGGCTTCTTGGATACAGTTGGTGGTACCATCAATCAACCACTTTCCCTAAACAACTCTTGATAGTGAGAACAGTGTTAGATCATATCCGTGGGGGAAGAGACATAGCTTAGTGATAGCGTACATGCTTTGCATACAATCTCTGGTATCTTTAGGTAGAGCTCAGGAAGATTCATGTGTGGACAGCTGCTACCAGGCTGTATAGACCAGGGTTAGAGATGAAAAAAAATCCGCTTCTGTGATGTGAAGAGTACTAAGCTAGATGGACCAGTGGTCTGACTCTTATTTAAGATACTAAACTGCAAGAAATGGGGGATAGTAGTAGAATTGTATTATCATGCAGCTGAAAGGTATCATTATTATTATTTATTAAATTTATATACTACCCTGGTGCAGTTGGCTTTTAAGCATCACTGGCAGACCGGAGTGGAGTCATCCAGCTCACAGTCTGCCAGGGATGCTTCCGCACACTAGTGGGCCTCTGATTGGCCCATTTAAATTTTGCAATATGGGTGGAAGTCCTGCTCATTGAAATCCTGTCTGCCAGAGATGGTGGCTGACCATTGAGGGACCATAATTGCCTACCAACCAGAAATGGGTAAAAGGTAAAGGGACTCCTGACCGTTAGGTCCAGTCGCGGATGACTCTGGAATTCCGCACTCATCTCGCTTTACTGGCCGAGGGAGCTGACGTTTGTCCGCAGACAGTTTTTCTGGGTCATGTGGCCAGCATGACTAAGCCGCTTCTGGCGAAAGCAGAGCAGCGCTTGGAAATGCCGTTTACCTTCCCGCTGGATCCCATCCAGCTTTGTGGTCTTGCTTGGACGTGCATGGGTCTGACTTAGCCAGATACCACTCATAGGTGAAAATCATCAAGTAAACAAAGTAAACTATTTTCTGTCTATGCTGCCTCTGATGAGCTTAACTGTTTGGAAAATACTGAGCTGAAAATAATACAAATGTGTTTTAAAATGTTATTTATAAAAGGAGAGGGTGAGTTGATATTAACGTGATT